ATTGTCCCTAAATTTTAGAAATTTAGAACAAAAAAATTTAATTTACTAAATTTACATCTTTAAAATATGGTTTTTAGCTAATAGAAAACTTATGACTAGCTATATTGCTCTACAATTCTGGGTGAATGTTTTTAAGTTTAAAAATAAAACTTTTTCACAATATTTTTTTATGAGGAGGCATATGATAGCATTGAATTATTACTTAAGTCTTGCGTATAATAACTAAGTTGTAAGTAAAAAGTAGGATTTAGTTGAACAAATTTTTTTTAGGTAATCATCCTACAAATCTTAAATATATTTTTATTTTAACACAAATTATGACAAAATCATGCTTTAGCGTGTACTTACTTAGGCTATCTTTTTGGTAAAAATACACATTATTTTGCGTTCGATTTTAAAAAGTGTTTATTAAATAGTACTTCCAGCCCACTGTGCACCGTGGCCATTCAGGTTGCTGTTGCTGGTTGTCATCCCATCTGTAATACAAACGCATGCCTTGATTGTGGTTCAGGGGGATGGAAATGTGGATGGGGATTGGGAATAGAGTACAGGCTGCGGGCAAATTGCTGTTTGTAATTGATTTAAATACGTTGACGTTGCGTGGCAAATAACTCAGGCCGCTGCTCGAGTCGAGTTGATTATATGGCCCGGACATTTCTGCTTAATTGTTGCCACACAACCCCAGAACTTTCCCAAATAGACGAGTTAAAGCTGTGTCTGAATGCCATCCAATTGGCCTTATCATTATCCGATGGCTGGCTGGCTGGCTGGTTGGCGTGAAAGCAAACAACGGCGGAACACAACAGTCGCCAATTATCGTTTTGATTAATGCTCGCTGCCAAAATGGATTTTCATAAGCGCTTTTCACCATTTCTTCCCATCAATTATCATAAATACAAACAAATTTGCAATAAACTGCACAGCACGCAGCGGTGAAGGCAATTTTCCAGCATCGGGTTAAAGGCAACAAACAGCCATTCAGGCACAACAGCAACACCATGGGCCAAACAACTTCAATTACAATCACGTCAACATCATTTTCAACGCAACGAGATATATTTCTATTAGCCGAATTAATGTCAGCATAATTAATCACATCCAATAATGTTCACTGAGCTAGGCAGCAACAGTAACAGCAGCAACAGGCAACCAGCAACTTGCAACTAGCAACCAGCAACATCCTCTCAGGGTCAATAGTTCGTGTTGCACCTTTCCAGCGAAAATCCAGCGAGACCTTCACACTTTTGTTTATTGGCCACAATGCGTAGGTTGTAGCCAGGGGCATTTTATATGGCTTGGACCAGAGAGATCGGCCAGAGAAGACAGTAGAGCTAATGCAATTTGATTGTTGGCCCGGTGTTTTGCCTGACCAAGACGAATTTCTTAGCCAGATGATAACGCTGGCAGATTCATAATTGCAATGCCGGGAAAAGAAATAATCCTGGGAAATTGCTGTAGTAAATGCCAAGCATTTTTTGAGCTTATATACGAATATACATCGAACAACAATAACATCAAAACATACCAGAAATAATTGCATACTATAATAATAAATCAATAAAAAGAGCTCATACGAACAGCAGTTTTATGATTATTAAAACAAGTTATTCATTAGATTTCAAATATTTTAAAGTAAATGTTAAAGTTTTTATTTCAACATAATAAACAACGGGTTTTCTATTTATTTTTACAACATATTGTCTTCTCATAGTTGTAATAAATTCCAACTTTAATTGTCAAACTTTTTGAATTAAATAATAAAAGGTTGGACAGTAGCATTTATAAGTTATTGATATTTCGAAACTAAAAATATATTTTCAATTTATTTTCATAGCATTTTCTATAAAACCTCAAACCCTAAAGTTTCTTTTATCCTTCAATATCTTTACAGCCATTCCATAATTTGTATCCAGCTGTTTAAAGGCGTTTCCACGCCAGATTCTGGATCACTATTTTTGTTGTTTCCTACGTTTCTTGATTTATTTGGCATAATTTTTTTATTGGCAGTTTCAACACGTTGATGGCTATCAATTTGCACAAATTAAAAATTAATTGCAAATTTATGGCTTTTAATTTACTTATCGTTTGATTTATGCCCCGGCCACAGCAGCCAAAATACTTTTTATGATTTAAAGCTCAGTCGGCCAATGCGCAGATTTGTTTCTTTTTATTGATTTTATTTTCATTTTTTCGGTGGTCCAACTGGGTGCACTTAGAATAGCTAAGAGCCAGGCAATTTAACTGAAATTAATTGCAAGCATTTTAAATTTTTATTTCGAGCATTTGAGAGCTGATAAAAAAAGCCGTCCAACTTGAGCTCGATTAGACCAAGCGGAAGTGGCATGTCAACGTCACATTAAAGCCAAAAGCCTATAAAAACAAAACTAAATCAAATCAAATAAGCTACAGCAAATGCAAAATGCAATTTGCAAATTTTACTTGCATTTTTCTAACAATATTTGGCCAATTTATACGAAGACCTCGAAGGTCTCGAATTATTCAAAGGCAGAAACGATAAAAGGCAAACGACTGGCAAAAAGGCAGCGACGACGACGACGAGTGGCCAATTGTTTTGGGCCAGGCCCAGATCACTGGACCATTGCCACCAGTAGCAGAAAAATGCAACAATAAATCTCATTTTATGCAGAGCGCAGAGCGAACGGCCCTTTTATAGGTAACGCTAATGTGGCCAAAAAATTGAACTTGACATTTGAATGCCCAATTAACCATGACGTCGAAGTGGTCCGAAGAGTTCGTATCCTGGACAGTACCAATGGCAATGGCCAATGGTAACAGCCGCTACCATTTTCAGGTCAAGTTTTTGGGCATTCCGATGCGTTATGCCCCCAGTCGCTTTATTGCAGCAATTCGGGCTTTGTGGGGTGCTCGAGTGCGGTTCCAAGTCCTCCTCCTCCGGCACCTCCTCCTCCAGCTTCCTGCTAATTAACCCACTTTCTTAGACCGACCAACCGACCGACCGACCTTTTTTTCTGCTCTTCTCCCAGACTGGCTCTTTTATCTCTGCCATTCCGATCGCTGCGGTAAAAATTTGCCTGTCATAAAATGTCTATGGAACTGGCCAAGGCTCAAATATGTCGAATACCCTATTTAGAGGAGGGTTATCTTAAAGATGGCTTATATCATCGGAAAAAGAGGTATTTTAATTTTATAAATTTAATTTTTTCAGATAATTTTGGTTATTTTAAATATAGTAATAAATAATATATGACACTTAAATTCCAATATTTAATATTAAAATCATGGTACAAAGTATGATGTTAGTCATACCTCTTTTAGGCATTTCCTATGTCAATAAAAAAATTATTTTACGTTAATATCAGTATATAGAATATTTCCATTTTTAAAATTTATAAAAACCTAAAATCTTAAATTTACAACGTTTTCTTTCATTATTATAATTTTTTAATACATTATTCTATCAAGAAAAATGTATGTTTGATTCCACGCATTATAATTAAAATAATAACAATTTAAAAGGGTATTTCTTGAATGAATACCTCCTTTGACTCAGTTATTTTACTATTTCGATGTGAGTGCAATTCTCACGCGGAGGCGATCGCCAGTTCACGCAGAGTCGGCCTTTTTCGGCCGGTCTTGGCCTGCTCCGGCTGGAGATGATTATAAAATTGCGATAAATATTTATACCGCTCTTAGATTTATGGTGATTCATATCACCAGCCGGCCGAGCGGAGTCATCGTTGGCATCGGTTAACAGGTAACGTTCATAAACATTTTTATTAGCAATAATTGCACAATTTTCCATGTGGTTCATTTGCGTGTGCGATCAGAGGAGGAGGTAAATACAAACACAACTGGCCAAACCAACTGTCATCAATCATGGAATGGCGATAAGCCAACTTCCTGGCCTTGACAGCCCCAAGGGTCAAGCCCAAATGACCATAATTGCCAAGTGTTGGCGAGAAAAGTCAAATGCCACATTTAAATAATTCAAATTATGTGCAATCAATTCGGTTAAAAGTTTTCAGCTTTACCCTGATTTCCAGAGCAAATTGTCATGGCCGCAAGCCCAACTCTAAAACTTAACTGTATTTATTAATAATTTATATTATTTGTTTATAGAAGGCCGACACTCCATCGAAGGCCAATGCTGCTCACTTGGCTAATGCTGTGCCATAACTTAATGGCCGATTTGCTTTCAAATCAGAACCCTAAGGAAAAACCATTTGCTGGCATTGAAAATAATTAAATGTTTTCATAATTTATTTGGCATTTTCAACCATAATTTGGTTCGGAAATAGCTACGTATATTTTTCTAGAAATAACTTCTTACAAAGTTGCTGCCGATACAAACAGTTTTGTGCAGAAAAATAGTTTCAAACTTTGGAAAAAATAGAATTATTTATTTGTTGGCTTATAAATATACAATATTATTAATTTTAACATTACCATAAGTTTTTACGGGGTTATTTCTTAACATATACATTTTTTAAGGCCTAAATCATAAAATCTAGGCCAGATTGTTCTAAATATAAATTCATCTAATCCGCTTTTTAAGAACTAAAATGAAGCTTTTGATTTTAAAGGGTAGTCCTTCTGTTATTTTAAACATATCTGTTATTAAGTAAACCAAAGTGCTCCACATTTGTTAGTCGCTTTACAAGTAAAAAAGTCAACTACATTTTCATGTGTAATTGGGTGCCGTGCCAGATCAACCCAAATTTCTGGGGTGACTGCTAAGTGTTTTGTCTTGTAATTTACAAATGCAAAATAGCCGAATGTGACAAAATGCATTCGCCTGACAATTTATCGTGTTGCCTGCTTCCTTGGCGATTGGGCCAAGTTGTTGCATCTGGTGGATACACCCCACTCCCTGGATCTCCTGGAGCTGCGAAAAAAACTAGTTTACGCATTTTGCGTGTGCAAACAGACATTGATAGGCGATGTGGATTTATATTTATGGGCCTAGTCGGGCGTGGCCTTGATCTAGAATTTCAGTAGTGCCGGCCCCAGCGTTTTTCCGATGTTTTCATTTTCATTTTCGTTTTCATTTACGTTTTCAGCGCCGCACAACGCGGCGTATGTGTGATGTGCGATGCCGATGTGATCTCGGGCGATCTCAGGTGAGTTAAGGTGATGTTTTCGTGTTCGCCGCTTGCACTTGCGTAATCACACAGATCGGGGTGCTAAGTACCGGTTTAAATGCCGGCCCAGACCAGTTAGCTAGTTTTTATATATTTTATGCATCTGAACTGAAGCGCCTGTGGAAACGCGTGCGATTATTTTACTCACTTTTCTGTATAGCTCTCTGCACTTGTAATTTATTGAGAAATTTAATTGAATTCGCATGCTCGCCAACCGGTCGCATAATATTTTTGTCCACCCGATTACACATTGAGCAATTGCCTGCCCGATCACATACGTTTTTCCCCAACGTTAATAACAGTTTTCACGCACAGATGGTGGAAAAAACATTCTTTGAAAACAATACATCTACTGTTTTTATGATAGTACACTGGGAAAATGATTAATTAATAATCTAGTTAAGAGTTTAAATGTTTTTAATTCAATTTTAGCAAAGAAAAATTCAGAATCATTTTTTAAAATATTATTTCTTAGATAATATCGATGTATTTTATAATTTTTCTAGAAATTGGTTAACCTTTTTTAGAAATATTGTTAATTTACTTAAGAGACAAAAACGGGTTCATATTTTTTTTGAAAGAAATAATAACCATAGAAATCCAAAAACAATGTAAATGTATCTTTCCGGATATTTTTCTAAGTGTTCTTTCTTCGTTTGGTCTTATAAAAAGCCAGAGAACAGATTCTTGTTCATTCATTCCCTTGAATTCAACACATTACCATCATGTTCCGCAAGGGTATAATTCTTATTTTAATTTTTTGCCTGGCTGTTGTATTACTGGCTTACGAAATGGACTCGGACTCCCTACAGGATCAGTACGAAAGGGAGCAGTATAATTTACGCAAAAGTTTGTCCTTTTCCCGAATATTTTTAACAGTAATTCAACTAAGAGTGGTTACATTCCTTAGAAATTTGTCTCCAAGATCCGGAATATGGAAAGTGTAAAGGTCGCCGGACACTTTGGTACTACAATACCAAAAGGTCCAAGTGCCAGACCTTTACCTATTCCAATTGTGGTGGAAATGGCAACCTTTTCTATACCTACGAAAGTTGCAAGGAATTCTGCGGTAAATACAACTGGCGTAAGGGTCCTCCTGTCCAAGGACGTCGACGTATGGCTGCTCCTAGAATTAAGGAACTTGATAAAACTCCACAATAAAATTAACTTGTGAATATTAACAATATTAATAATAACTAAATATAAGCCAATCGTTTTTTCGGGATTTACTACCCTTTACCAAATTAGTAAAGTGCACCAAACCACATTTTCATTAGCTAAAAAACGTATAAATACCTCGGGAAATGTTTTAACCGATTTTAGAGAACCTTTGGAGATCCCATAAGTCAGAGATGAAAGTGGTAATAGTTTTTTTGGGCCTTTTGGCGATTTTAGTGTCAACTGTTCAGCCTACTGGAAAAAGAAATTGTGAGGTTTTGATTTTTTAGTAATCCTTATCTTATTAGTATATTTTTGCAGTACTTTGTTATCTGCCTCACGAGTTCGGTAAATGTGGAGGCCATCGCTTGATGTGGGCCTTTTCCAATCAGCAAGGAAAGTGCGTTCCATTTGTTTTTTCCAACTGTGGCGGCAATGAAAATCGCTTCTTTACCAAGGAAAAGTGTGAAAGAACTTGCGCTTTAACTAATCCTCGATTTGTTGTGTCTAATTAATTGTTGGAGAAGAAAGATGGTTAAAATATAAAAAATATATTTAAAACTTTTGTAAACGGTAAAACAGCTTTATATAAATTTTTCTTTTTAATACTTTTTTTTTATAAACTTACTCTAACAACACAAAACACATTTTCATTACTTGTAAAGGGAAATTAGGTATAAATACACCAAACTTTTGTTTCCTCGGCTTAGTCTGCAGTCTCAGTTTGAGTATGAAAGTTCTTACTACATTTCTTATTTTCTTTTCGATCTTTGTGACTACTATAAGGTCATTAGATAATCGAAATCGTAAGTTTTTCCGTGAAAAAGAATAGCTGGCAAAACGTTTATAGTATCGTTATTAATATATATCAGCATTTTATGCTTTGCCAGCTGAATCAAATAGGTCAATTATTTTTATTAATCCCCATTTCCTTAGCCATATGTTTCATGCTGTTTAATCCCGGCCATTGTGAAAGCCATCGAGTTGTGTGGTCTTTCTCCGGTGACGATGAAGAGTGCATCAGGGTTCTCTATTCAGGATGTGGTGGCAACCGAAACCGATTTAACACAAAAGCTCAGTGTGAACATTTTTGTGAACTACAATAACCATATACCTTAATATTATACACTTTAAATAATTGAACACCTAATGGATATAACATAAATAAAGTTTAAAATGATTTTTTTTACACTTTCACAAGAGATTCTTAGTTTAATAATAAGTTATTTTATAACAAGCTTTTCAAATTCAAACCGAAAACGTATAACTTGCCTGCGAATGTTCACACTAATAACGCTTTCGTTTTGACCACGTTTTGTTGGCGTCTGGCGGTTTTTTTGGTACAACTGGTAGCCGGCGCTCAGGAACGAAAGAAGGCCAGAACAAGCAGTGGAAAGCTTCCCACCAGCTTGGCTCACATCCACATACACATCCACATTCACCACTTCCACTTCCACTTCCATGTATACCATATAACACCGCTCTCGGAACACATACTCCCCAGGGGCGGAACTTGAGATTGTCAAGGGCTGGGCAAATATTCGTTGCTTGCTGGCATTTGGACCAGGCCAACAGCGTTGGCAGTAGCGAAACGAAAGCTCGCCTGAAAAGTTTTTGTTTGCCAGCCAAGTATTTTGTTTTCTTTTCTCTGGGCTTTATTGTGCGCCGTTAGAGGCATAAATCACCGACGAGGGGGCAAAATGTGCAAGTTTACAGGTTGACTCGCCGCTCGTACGCAAAAAGCACATTACCAGAATGGCAATCGCAATCGCAATAGCGAAATGGCCATGGCAATGGCAATGGCAATGGCCAATAGCGAAATCAAAGAATAAAGTCACGCAATTTCAATTACAAATAAACGCACAGACGGAGAAATGGCCAATGAGAGGGGATCCCCTGATGCTGACTATCCTATGGCATATATCCATGGCAATAGCTAGAGCTATAGTAATACTAATAATAATGAAATTGTGATAAGCTGCGCGCCACAAATTGCACGCGAGTGAGACGGGGAGACAATAATTTAAACCGTTAAGCGCAAGATGAGGCATCAAATGCAGCCGCCCAGAGATGGACACGTGACACGATATGGGTTAAAGATAATACCCGAATCGGTTTTCAAAAATATTATGTGGTATGTTTAACTGGATATTCAAATTTTCACTATTATTTCCCAAGTTATCCAGTTTAACATACCATAAAATCCTTATTTTGCATTTAGAGGTCTCTATAATAATGATGTAGGGTAATACCAATTTTTCGGATTTTTAGTTGATAGTTTCTATACTTCTTTCTTTGATCAAAACGTACCAGTCAATCAAAAAACAATGTTCTACTTCCATCATAGTTTACTAAAACTTGTTTTTATATCAAAACTTATTAAAATTATATATATATTTTTGGTAAAATACTTTTTTTTTGTTTTTATAAGAACACAACGACTTATTTTTAAGTTTTAATGTAGAGTCCATGGTGAAGACGTCGTCATTCTGGCTGAATCTTCGCATATCGGATGTCTGGCCGCATTTGACGCAGGTTCTGCTCTTTCTGGCCAACAACATTAGGCCCGAGCTGCGCTTCGGTGTTGGCCCGATGCCAATTAATATTCGCATGATCAAATGGTTAACGCATTTAGCCGTATAAAAAACCAACAAGACATCTCGCCGCTTCGCAAACCGGCTCACATTAAATTCGCATTTACGCGTTAGCCTTTGTGTAACTGATCGAGGTTTTCCCCTCCGACCAATCCTAGTCTTCTCTCTGGATCCCAGATCCCGTGGCCTGTGGGAAAGTGGGCCTTAATTGACATCACGAGGCGTTTAAATTGCCGCCTGACCCCGCAAAAGAGTTAAACAACTTGTGGCCTGAGTTAATTATGTATTTATTTAGTATTTTCCTTCGTTTTCCAGTTTTTGCTCGTTCTTTTCTTCATACTTTTTGGATAAACACTTAAAAATTTTGAATTTTTGTTGTCACAACTTTGCATGCCGTCTATATATATTTATGGGTTTTATTAAATTTCTTTAGTTATGGGCTAGGCTGGTTGAGTACGACTTTGTATATATAGTTTAATAAAATTGATTTACTTTCCGTGTGCGTGTCTATGGCATAACAAACTGCTGCCCAGAGAAAATGGATTAAGATGAGTTTAATTTGTAATTATCTTCGATTTTGTATTGAGTAGGTAGGTACTTAATGGAATCTGTTGTACCACAAGCAGGCTAACATTTAAAGCGTTCGCGTACATCGATAGAGAAGGTTCTTTAAGGTATAGGTTTAAAGTAATATTCTAAGTAAACCAAGTCAAACTGAAAGCTATAACAACAAGGCCTGGCCTTAAACGAAAAACATTTTACAATTGAATAAATGCAAGTACACAATTGATTTGATAAATGCTTACATAACAACTAAGGGACTAGTTAAAAGTTGTTCTTCTGAAAATGTTGTAAACTATTCTCAAAAAACATATTAAAAAACCTCAATTCATTTTTACGATTTTGTAAGCAATAATTTGCTTATAACTTGATGCGTTGTCTGTCCTTTGATTTCATTCGATTTGCTTAAATATTCAATTAAAAATTATATAACAACACGCATACATATCAATATTAGAGTTAGTCGTATGTATATATGTATAATATATAGTAAATGTGATTAGCCAATAGGTTATAGATCTTCACGAATGCGGGATATGATTTTGCATTGCTCTTTCTTTCTCAATTCAATTCTCTGCCTTTAGCATTCAACATTAATAAAATTGTTTAATAAGCCAATATATTTTTAATTTCTTCGCTCGTACGCCAAACATGATTTTCCTCTCATTTGTTTATCTCTTTAAAATTTGCTAAAACATTTTCATTTACTATTGTTTTATATCGTCAAGCTTACTTGATCTTTGTTACCACATAAATGCAATACCTCAATATGTTTATTTTTGAAATAGGGATGCAATTGTTACCCCTGCAAAATGGTCTAATGATAATTGTTCTTTGCAAAATGATCTAATTATAAAGTCGATTGGAAAGGAAAGCTTTCTGTTTTATTTGGAAGTTGTGAAGCTCTAATAAAGCCTTCATATTTGTTTGGTGCATTTCTCTTAAATGGAAAAAAATTGTGCCTTTTGTTGATTGTGAGTCTTTTTGTTCGTTTCGTTTGTAGTTTGTTATTTGTTCTTTGGCCATACGAATAGTTAAATAATTAGAAAAAACCCCCTTTCCCGCTCGTATAAAAGTCAAATGCGTAAGGACTACAAACTACTAGTTGCCATACAAAAAGTCCCTTTAACTACAACTTGAACAGAGCCCCATAGTTGGTGAGGCAAAATAGTTTGGCGCATAGGCTGCGACTCCGACTGTGACTGCGACTGTGACTGCGACTGAGACTGTGACCTGGCCTGAGTGGTGCCGGTGGTGTCGGCGGTGTTTGCTTTCCTGGGGCCAGGTCCTGGCTCTATTTCCCGCCACAATACTCGCCCTGCAGCATTCCATTGTCCAGGAGAAGAGCCGGCGTGGTGGAGATGCCATCGCGCAGTGCCAGTTGATAGGCCACCTCGAAGGCCTGTCCCAGAGTCAGGATAATCTCGCTGGCCAGTTCCTGGTGAGATTAAAAATTATGAAATTACATTTTAAATATTATAGTATCCGTTTGTGTACTCACTGTGCTTTGGACCAGGAAAACATGGCAGTAGTGCAGGTCCTGCTCTTTGGTTATATAGGCAAAGTGCCTCAGATCCTCCGAGTCCTGGCAGGCGCAGTTGATGTTCTGAATCTCGTGCTCGCAAATAGTGCGCTGAAAATGATGCCATAATTTCAGGATTTTATATTTTTATATTCTTATAAAAATCGAAATAACAGATCTCTTACCTTACTGCCTACATCGTTGAACTCCACTCCACGATGACAAATTGCCAACGAAAGTGGTGACCCCGATTTGCCTTCACCTTCAGCTGAGGATTTCAGCTTTTGTATGGACTTCTTAGTAGACTCTGTGCCGCGTAGTTCTTTCACAACCGTTGAGCCGAGGTACTGTTACATTAAGAGTAAAAAAATTCAAAAAAACGTGTGAAACTCAAGAATTCGCGTTTTTCAGTAATGAAGGAAAGTATGGAACTATCTTGATGAAGATCTTTCTTAATTTGTAATATTTTCTTCCAGATGTAATTTCATCATCAACTTACTTGAACCTCGTAATTAATATGCTCGTTGAGCAAAGTCTGCGCCGAGTGACGCCATTCGGTGGTCCGTAGATTGGCCGGAAGACCCAGCAGTAGCTCCGAGGGAGCCCTAATTTGCAGAGCGGCTGTCTTTCTAGCTGGTGGAGCCGGTGGTGGAGGTGCAGGTCTTAAAAATACCAAAATTCTTAAGATTAGAGAAAGGCGTTTCCTATCAGGATATATCATATCTTACCGACTCTTGCGATAACCTGTGATGGAATTGCGATGATGCACTGGATTGGCGGGTATCCTTGGAGGAGCCTCCCTAACTGTTCCATTGCCATTCGTTGTCAGCTGATTGGTTTCGTTGTTCTCGCCCAGTGGCGTCTTCAGCGACTTGGAGTCACTGTCACGCATCTGGCGGATGT